CAGATACATCCAAGTATGCTCAGCATTGCTAGCCTTCAGAGAGAGGCAAATTAGGACTACAATGAGATACCACCTCACACTAGTCAGAATGGTCATCATAAACAAATCAACAAAGAAATGCAAAAGAGGATGTGGAAAAAAGGGAACCCTAGTAGACTGTTGGTGGAAATGTAGACTGGTGCAGCCACTGTGGAAAACAGCATGAATTTTCCTCAGGAAACTAAAAATGGAACTGTCTTTTGACCCAGCAATTCCACTGTGGCAATTTTACTCTAAGAGCTCTGAAACACCAATCAAAAAAGAAAAAAAAAAAACCACATGCACTCCAATATTCACAGCGACACAGTTTACAATAGGCAAGTGCAAGAAGCAACCTAAATGCCCATCACATGCATGATTCAAAGAACTCTGGGACTCTTACACAATGAAATTGTATGCAGCCAAAAAAAAAGGAGCTCCTACCCTTTGTGACAGCATGGATGGAATTAGATTGCATTATGCTAAGTGAGATAAGCCAGGTGGTGAGGGACAAATACCATATAATCTCACCTGTAAGTGGAACATAATAAACAAAAGAGAAATGCAAGAAAATATAACCAGAGACATTGAATTAAGAGCAATCTAACAATAGCCAGAGGGGAAGGGATAGGGGACATTGGAGAGAAGGGTTTTCAGGAACTTCTATAAAGGACACATAGACAAAAACAAGGTGGGGGGTGGAAGCAGAGGAGGGAGGTGGGCTTGGCTGGGATAGGTTTCAGGGAGAAAATGCAGACAAGTGTAACTGAACAACAATAAAGTAATTTAAAAGAAAACAAACAGTGAAGACCTAGCCTCCAGAAATCTAGTGCAGTCTTAGAAAACAGATGGCTCTGGCAGTCTGATGGTGGAAAGCTGCCTTCATGATCATTCTGGTTATCATCAGCAGATGGGTAGCAAAGTAGCAGTCAAGTTCAAGAAGAGGGACAATGTGGCTAGAAGAAAGTACCTGAAAACTTCCTGGAAGCAGCTCTCTTCATGCATACATGTTCATTTTTGTCAACAAAAAAAGTCAAAGCCCAGAGTAGTTCAACTCCTGTCTTTGACCTAATCCTGCCTCCCTGCCATGTTGGCAAATTAAGACATCATTCAGAAAGGAAGGGCTGCTCCATCTGACCCCAAGACTGAGAGTTGACCTTCAGTCACACAAGGCCGTGTTCACGTGTACAAATAAAGATCATTTAGATACGATGATGTTATTGGCTTACACCAACATCATTAAACTATAAACACTACAGTCTCCTGGTGGCTCTTCAAACTCAGGATCATTACCATGAATAGATCACAGTAATGAGAGGAAAAATACATGAAAGCACTCCAACGAGGGCAATGAGGCATTATTAGCATTTCTTCCCAAAAGAGCAGCTAGATCTTCCTAAGAACAGCCAGATCAGCTTCATCAGTGCTAAGACCAGCTGAATGACTTCAGCATGAGAGAGAGTGACTAGAATTTAACCACCTTGGTTGACTTAGTATTCTTCCTTTGCAACCTATCAAACATTTTCTTTCTACAACATTAATCAGATCAGTTGGCATCTACATCTGAAGGTGGCAAGAAAGCAGAGAAGGCATCATATGCAAAGCTGTGTGTGCCACAGAAAGAGAGGGGACAACTCTTGTTAAGGTGTCTGTTGGTCTCCATCTGCCTCTGTCTGTAACTAGAGACACTAACATAAGTAGGAAGTTAAATGGAAGGGTTGACATGTCTTTCTCTATTCTGGTCTTAGCTCCATAAATACAGGTTTCTAGGGTAGAAATGTTCAGCCAGCCCTGGGACCCAGCACACCTCTAATGCTACAAATATGAACTACTCAAGAACTTTAAAAGGCCACAACTAGGGAAATGAACATCTGAAAATGGAGTTGTAGGCTGCCATCCATGAGGAGGTAGTTTTATCTGCAAGGCCACAGCCACTTAAGACTTGATTGGGTAGCTCACTATGGACAACAAGTTAAGCACAAAAGGATATGTTCTCCTAGTCATCTCTTGCATCTTGACATGATTTGTAAAATTGGGCACAAGTCTGGAAAAATGCAACAAAAGTCCCTATAACCATAAGCGAGCACTAGAGCTTAGCAAGGTATTCCACCCATGTCAACTTCAGTTCATGGGTGGCAAGTGAGGCATCCTTTCCTTGGGCAAGAAAAAACAAATTTCAGCTCCCGTGTGCTATTTCATGATCCCATCCATGAATGAAGCTTTATATGCCCCCTGCTACGGCCAAATATGTTTGGTGTGCAAGGGACAGAGGCAAAGTATCTGTTTTTTTCTTCTACCTCATCCTTTCTGCCAGCCAGACCAAGCTTCTTTGGGGACCTAGGATAATACACATCCCTGTGCCCAGGAGGTCCACAAACCAATGATGGCCTAGGTTTGGCTGTCCAGTGCTGGTACATGATTGCCAAACCCCAATGTTCTGGGGCTGGCAGTCAGTGCAGGATGAGCCGATTAACTGAACCCTCCATTCACTTTGATAGGAAATGTTAACTTTGCCCTTGATTGGGCCTCTACATCCCATTCCCACTACTGATAATTACTCATCATGAGCACTGCATTAGTTTGTGAACGTAAACAAGGAGAATTTCAACACAACTGTCATGTGATTTTGGCATGCAGAACTTATCAGTATGCTAAATTTGTTTGTACTTATTCATGGGTAGCAACAGAAAGAAACCCAGAGTAATAGCACAGGCAATCTTCTCAATGTGTCCAACGTCAAATGCTCTGTCCCCTGGCTCATCATGTTCTGTGCTATGGGTGACAGCAAACAGGTCATAACAGTGGTAAAGAGCAGAGCAATGAGCAGATGAACTGCAATGATCTGCTGAGCACTAGGATGCTGGCCAGTGTTCAACTAAACCATCAGTTCAGCTTTGGAAAGGAAGGGGTATTATTCATCCCCATATGCAGATGAGGAGAATCAGACTCAAGGCAAAGTCATTGTCCCAAGGTCATCCCATAGGGAGGTGGCAGAAAACCAATACACTTTCTGATACCACTCACTATAGAGCCACCAACATTTCTTTGTGACGTTGTACTACCACTCAAACTGGGTAAACCACTTTTCGGATCCCAGTGTCAATGGAAAATGCAAAGGCCAGCTAAATCCTTTGAGTTCTTCCATTTTCTTCAAAAGAAGACACACACACACATGCGCACACACACACAATTAGGACAGGTACTAAGTAAATTCCCTGGCCCTGGGCTAGACCTTTGGACACAACTGCCCTCATGGACACAGAGGTCAATGAAATACTCATGGAAGTGAAACAAGGTGGGAACTGAACTGATTCCAGGTGAGTTCAGGGCAGACAGCTCAACAACTGACCCACCACACCCTGTGGGGATGTACAACCTTTGGAATCACCTGCAAGATCATGATCAGCCCACTGCTGAGCCTTGGCCAAGTGGACCCTTTGAAAAGTCTTTGAACCCTCTTAAGCATAAGACTGCTTTTACAGAAGTTTTCAGCAGGCACTCACTGGAATTGTGGGAGAGTTCTTGGATGAAGGGGAAGCTGACAGAGTGACGAGTTCCATGCCAGTCTGCTTGTGGATATGTCAGCCAAAGCATTTTTTGGTTGGTCCCCAATGCTGAAAAGGCCAACGTTTGTTTTGTTGGAAGAAAACACTTCCAAGGTAAAGCTTCATGAAGGAAGCATCACCTGACAGGAAGCTTCATTCCATTCAGGTTGGTGGAACTCTGGCCTGCTGTCTCCAGCTTTGGACCCTCTGAGGCTGGCTTATTGACAGTTCCTGGTTTGTTACACCAGAGGCTCTGATGTTACAATAACGTTACACTCATCAAAGGTGGGGTTTGAGTACATTTCTACTCTCCTCCCCTGCACAAATAACTGTTCTGGGTAGAGCATTTTAATAAAGAGAATCATTACAGTAAAAAAGAAACAGCCACATGTTTCAAGAATAGGTTGAAAGTTTTGTTTCCTGTGATGTTTTTGTAAATCCTCAATTGAAAATATGTTTATTGATTTTAGAGAAAGAGAACAAGGGAGAAAATAAGTGAAACATGGATGTGAGAGAAACACATTGATCAGTTGCCTCCTCTACAAGCCCCAACTGAGGATGCAACCCACAACCTTTGGGTATAACCATAATGCTCCAACCCGCTGAACCACCTGGCCAGGGCCTCCCTGTGACATACGATGAACAGGAAACTTCTACTCTTCTGCTGTACTTCTTCATAGTATAGTACTGATTCATGGCTCAATCCAAATTGTTTCACTCTATTGAGTGTCCCAAAATGGATATTAATGAAGCCATTTCTAATAAACTCCAGGCCACTAAATACACTCAGAGACAAGCAAAATTAAAGTTATCAATAAAATCCTCTCAGTAGCAGCAATGACAGGGTAGCCCTACAGTGACTCTACAAAGACACTGCAACTATGCTCAACACACAGGCTACTTTTACTTGTGAGGCCAGGTCACATAACTTAAAATTACTTGATGTTTTCATAAGAATTGGAAAGCTAAATCCTCTTCCTCTGACATTTCTTTTGTCTCATTTAAATCACTGATTTTCCACCAGGGTTTTAATATTTTGTGACTCAAAATCCAATTATTGGGATGAGATTTACATTACATCCCCTGCCCCATCACCAATTTCATTTTTTTTCATTTAGAAAATCCCTTGCTTTCTTACTTTCTTCCACCTCCTAGGTGTTCTAACATAATTTTTCATATCAAGACTAGTATATCTTCTTAAATACAAGTCATATTGTCCTATAATCTCTATGCAGAGTAATTATATCCAGATAGAAAGGGAAAGAAAGCATCATGGTCTAAGTCATAGGTTGTATACCAAATACTTCATAAATCATTCTGGCAAATAAAATGGAAAATGGTACGGTCATGACAAGCTACTGAAAAACAGTGTGGAGATTCTCTATCACTGCATCCTTAACAGAAGGTGACAAATTCTTGTTTCTGCTCCTCACTCACCTCACTGCTTCTCCTCAGCTCATTTTCCATGGTTTGACTCGTCCGTAAGGCCTCTTGGGTTTTGCCCAAATGTTGCTTCAACTCTTCCAATTCTCTTTCAAGTTGGTGCTTTCCGGATGTGGCCTACAGAGAGAAAAATAAGACCAAGTAGTTTTCTGCTGTTGACTTCATAAATCATCATGTCTTCTTGTATAATACAAAAGTCACTAAATAAGAGAACTGAGGCCCTCTAGGTGGGTGGAGACTCCTGCTGTGGAAGACACAGGTCCGACTGCAGGCTTCTCAGTAGAGTGGCACGATGTGACTGGGACATTAAGATCCATCTGGCCACTGGATGTAAAGAGACTGAGGAAGAAGTGCAGAGCAGGGAGACAAGGAGGAGGCAAGAACAGTAACCCAGGCAGGAGAGGACATGGTCTGGGGCCCTACAGAGCCATAGAGGTGGTGAAAGTAGTCATACTCTGTGTAAAATACACACAGATATAAAGCCAAGTGTGTTCTTAGCAGGGAGGAATGTAGCACCTGAAGGGTTTCAGGGGTAGCTGAAAACACTCTACCCTGATACAGATAATAGATATAAGACAGCATGCCCAATAATCATTCATAATTAAATATTTATTCTATATATATGTTTTTTAAAGGAATATTATAAATGTGCAAGATTTCTGGACCAGATGGAGGAGTAGGTAGATACACCATGCTTCCTATCACAGCCAAAAGAAAACAACAATAAATGTACAGGAAAAAACAATCAAAACTGCCAGAAAATCAAACTGCATGGAAGTTAGATAACCAAGGAGTTAAAGAAGAAACATTCACTCAGACTGCTAGGAGGGCTAGAGATGGGCAGCCGAGTTGGAAGAGACACATGGTAAGGTGGCAACTATAGGATCAGGTAAGCAAGGTTGTTGCTGGGGGACCTACTGGGCCCATATGCATGTGTGGATAAACTCGAAGAAACATCTAGGGAGTCCAACAGACTGTATAACCCCTGGTTTCAGAGCAGGGAAATGAATCCTCAAATCCTCTGGCATTAAAACCTTTGGAAATGCCCTGGCTGATGTAGCTCAGTGGATTGAGCACAGGCCTGTGAAGCAAAGGGTCACTGGTTCGGTTCCCAGTCAGGGCACATGCCTGGGTTGCAGGCCAGGTCCCCATTAGGGGACATATGAAAGGCAACCACTTATTGATGTTTCTCTTACACTCTTTCTCCTTCCCTTCCCCTCTCTCTAAAAAATAAATAAAATATTTAAAAAAATAAATAAAACCCTTGGAAATGACTTTTAACAGGAGACACTCCCAGCCTCACAAGAGAATTCATTACAGAGACCCACTGGGTCTCAGGATGTACATAAGTCCATCCATGCAGGAATCAGCACCAAAGGGGCCCAATTGGCTTGTGGAAACTAAGGGAAGTGACTGAAAGGTGGCTGAGAGCCAAGCAAGCAGCACTGTTCCCTTTGAAATGACACCCTGACTTACAGTGCCACAATGGAGGGATTAGATTGCCCCACCATGGGGAATACCTAAGATTGGACCAATTAGAACAAATCAAGCATGCTGATATAAAAACTTTGGTTAAAATGAAAGAACAGACCAAAGGCCCATAAATAGAATGAAAGGATGAAGAGATAACCAAGCAGAGCTCAGAATACTGGTAATGGGAGGCTCACACAAATGGTTGACCATGCTGGCCAAAATGAGGAAGAGGTGAAGGCTATGCAAAGTGAAATACAGGAGAATATACAAGGACTAAGCTGACAGGAATGTACTCAAATCAAAGTTTCAGAGCAAAAGGAAGAAGGAAACAGTCAACCACCATCAAATGAAGAAACAAGAATTAAAAAAAATGAGGAGAGGCTTAGGAACCTCTGGGACACCTTGACATATTCCAACATTCCAATCATAGAGGTATAAGGAGGAGAAGAGGAAGAGCAAGAAATTGAGAACTTATTTGAAAAAATAATGAAGGAGAACTTCACTAATGTGACAAAGGAAATAGACTTCTAGGAAGTCCAGGAAACTCCAAGAGTCCCAAAGAAGGTAGACCCAAGGAAGCACTCAACAGGACACATCAAAACTACATTATCCAAGATTGAAGAGAAGCAGAGACTCTTAAAAGCAGAAAGTTGAAAGGACATAGTAACCTACAAAGGAGTTCCCATAAGACCATCAGCTGATTTCTGAAAAGAAACCTTGCAGGCAAGAAGGGGCTGGAAAGTGGAATTCAAAGAGAGGAAAGGCAAGGACCTATATCCAAGATGACTCTCTCCAGGAAAGCTATGACTTAGAAGGCAAGCATAGACAAAGTTTTTCCTAGATAAGGTCCAGTTAAAGGAGTTCATCACCACCAAGCCCTTAATACATGAAATGTATGAGGGACTTATCTAAGAAGAAGAAGATGAACAAAATATGAACAGTAAAATGACCATAAAGTCACAACTATCACCAACTGAACCTGAAAACAAAATACACTAAGCAAACAACCAAAACAGGAACAGAATCACAGAAATGCAGATCACATGGAGGGTTATCAGTATGAAGGGGTGGGGGGAATGGGGAAAAAGGTACAGGGAATAAAGAAGAAGCATAAATGGTAGGTACAATATAGACAGGGGGAGCTTAAGAACAGTACAGAAAATGGAGAAGCCAAAGAACTGATATGTATGACCCATGGACATCAACTAATGGGAGAGGGAATGAGAGGGGATATGGGGGTGCCATGTACAGGTGAAAACAGGGGAGAAAAAATGGGCCAACTGTAATGGCATAATCAATAAATATATGTTTAAAAAGAGTTTGAATGTGCTCTATGTAATGTACATGCATATACCCACACACACATGGGCGTACATGTAAATAAATAAAGCTGGCCTCAGCTGAGTAGTAATGAAGCACTTTGAGGTATGAGAGAAAAAGCAGAGTTGAAGATGACAGGTAGCACTGGGCCTGAGCAATGTGAAGACCACAATCGACATTTCCTGGGATGAGAAAGCGGAAGGAAGGAGCAAGAATGAACAAGCAGCTCGAGTTCCAGTACTGACATGTGAAGTGTGAAATGCCTTTGAGACATGCTGAGTGGAAACATCAGACATATACGTGAGTCTCGAGTTCAGGACTGATGTCCCAGCCAGAGATATGAGCATGGCAGCCATCACCACAGAGAGAAACCCTAAAGCCACACAACTGGATGACATCATTTTTGAAGGGAGTGCTAAACAAGCAAGGGGACATAATTTTCAGTGCTTTGACTGTTTTGGGGCACAATGATTTGGGAGAGCTCCCACCAGGTGATATCCCACCCAGTGATCTGGTCAATAACCAGAATGTCAGAGAGCTCCACAGATCCTGACATCTGAGAACCTGACTCCTCACTCTCTCACTCACTCACAGTCCTCTTCTCCAAATGAGAGAAGCCAGACCCAGACAGCTTCCCTCTGTTCTCCTGTTGGAAGGAAAGGAGTGTGAGGTTGGAGCATTTTTCCCTTCATAGCTTCCCAGGTCAGCTGTGGGACACAATATGTCCAAGGACAAGGAGAGGGAATGAAGTGAGGAGTGCCTACTTTATCCAGCTCTGCCTGCAGGATGTTGCGAGTGTTCTTGGCCTGCTGCAGCTCCTGCGTGAGTCTGCCTTTCACCTGCGAGCTCTCTCTGTACAAGATTTGGAAGGCACGCTGTTGACTGGAGAGCTCCTGAAAAGCAAAATACATACTCTCAGCACTGACGATGGTCCACAGGCAGGTTCCAGGGTGACACAGTTGTCCCATAGGATATCTGATGGTGGAGCCGGAGACTACAGGGAGCATAGCTGACCATCCCACGGTGATAAACATCAGCAGCCTGAGCACAGGCCCCAGTCATACAATCCTGATCTCCAAGGGCCAGGACAAGAGTCTACTTGTTGACCACACCACCACTCTGAAATCAGTCCCCTCTCTTTGAAGTATCCAGTGGCAAAAGAGAGGACAGCTGAGCTGAAACCCTCACAGTTTTCCTGAGAAATCAAATGCACTCAAGAATGGAGTTTAAAATTTCAAATACCACGCTCCACTTCAGATGGACAATGATGCAAAGTATATGTCAACAATGAACTTGGATAAGTGCATAAGGACACCAGAGTTACATTTGCAGTTGCTTTTTCTTTGACACGTAAGTGGACATGTGTATATTTGGTTGTTACTGGGTTTTGTTTTTCCTAATACCGTAGTAATACACCAGGTACTAGCAACTTTGGCACTACTCATATTTTGGGCTGGGGACAATATCTTTCTTTAAGGGACTGTCCTGTATTATAGAATGTTTACCACCATCCTGGCCTCTAGCCACTAAGTGCTAGTAGACCCTCACTCCCCTATCCCAGTTTGATAAGAAATAAATGTCTCCAGGTACTGCTAATCACACTCTGGGAAGAAGAAATTCACCCCTTTTCTCTGACAAGAGGAACTCAGTTGGCTGGAACACCTTCCTATGGACCAAAGGGTCACAGGTTCAATTTCCGGTTGGGATACCTGTGGTGGTTATGGGTTTATTGCCAAAACAGGGCAGAGTCAAGAAGCAACCAATCTGTGCTTTGTCATATGGATGTTTTTTTCCTCTCTCTCCTTCTCTTCCTCCCCTGCCCTCTCTATATGTCAATGGGCATGTCCTCCCATGAAGCTCAAACAAAATCAACCCTGGTTGAAAACGGCCATTCTAGACTATGATCTTAAGTTCCCCCTTTCACCCAGAAACTAGCCGAATGTGTGGTATCTCATTTGCTCCCGAAATAATAGCCACCATCTTTCACAACTTGTTTACAAGGGGGTCACTCTGTAAGTGATATAAGTGTCTAACTGCTAGGCTGTACACCTGAAACTAATGGAATACTAAATGTCAAGCAGAATGAAAGCAGAAGATTAATGAAATTTAAAAATATTGAAATGCACTGTTGGTGGTAATTCCTCCAGGAGGCAGAATGACTTCCTTCTGAGTAATTTTACGCATCTTGCCAAGTGTGTATGTTGTTCTGTGAGACACACCATAAAGGGATGGATGAGTATGTGAGGCTGCGTGGGACTCAGATGAGCTCCAATGTGCACTAATTTTCACTGGAAGTCTGTTGACCCTCCAACCATGGGACACACTGTTAGGCCAACTTACCTCCTGCCAGCACCTCTCCCTCCTGAGGAGCATCCTCAGCCCTAACCCATCTGTCATCGTCTTTCCCCACTTACTTCATTGACTACTGTCCTAAAGTATTTGCCAGCCCATAGGCTTTCAAAGCAGACAGAGAATGTCCTACAATTTCCTTCACGACAGAAAGCATTCAAAGGGAGAAATGGGACCTCTTCCCCCTGGGAACGACAATCTCAAACAAATCAGAAAACATGGATGAAAAGGAACATTCTGACTGCTAGTTTCTTCTCCAATCAAAACCTGAAAGACTCAAAGTATGAAGGGAAACACAGGGGCCTTTTCCTCACACAGCATTTCCCTAGTAGAACTTACCAAGTGACGACACGTGGCAGCTCCTCCTCTCACTGAGGACACTGAGACACCGCAGACAAACGCCTCATGGACCCATGCACCTTACCTCTTGAAACTGTTTTCCTTTTAACCTGAGTTTCTGTTCCAGAGAACATCTGGAACTTTCGGCATGCTGTCGATAAAAGCTCAAATCCTCAGTCAATTTGTTCAGTTTTTCTTCCAACGCAGTATACTAAGAACAAATAAAAATGCACAGTAGAAAACAAAGTGTTCAAGGAAAGAAGTCATATTTCCAACATTAGAGCCATTAGTCCCGAGTTCTGGTTCAATTTAGCATTGTGTTTTGACATCTTTCTTTCATGAAATCTTGGGTTTAAACTACTAGCCATACAGGCAAACCACAATAATGATTTTAGCACACATAACATTGAAGGTTGGGAAATAGGAGCAAGAATAGAAAGGCTCAGACCATTGAAATACTTCCTAATGTGCAGTGTGAAAAGAACTCAGTGTCAGAAGAAAAGTTCATCCAACGTTTCCCTGCATCAGACGGATGAAAATGCTGTGATTGTTGTGGACTTTACAGGCTGTTAAATAACCAGAGGGTTCCCATTACTCCCAAGGGGCAGTCTGTTTTGAGCATAATACATTCTGTGACAAACTGTAAATATTAAAAGGCTTCTTTCTGCAGTGCTCTTGCTTTGCCATTTTAAATTTCTGGAGGTCCACAGTGCTCCACAGAATAACACACCTGGTTTTTAACCAAGCTGCCATGAGCAACACCAACAACCTTCTTGTGTCTTTTCACAGAGCCAATCTTCCTTAAAATCGTCCTTGAAGCATGAACTACATCAACATGGAGGCTGCTCTTCTCAAACTGATTGGAACCAAAGGGTCTGAAATGTTCATGTGCTAAAACCCATTCCACTCTCTCCCCTCTAGTGGCCACATCCTAAAACAGCACCCACAAAACAACATTGAAAACCCAGGGAGGAGTCAGAGCTGGTCCTGTGGGTGGGAGAGAACTGCCTTGCGCAGAACGAAATGTGCCCTGATTGGGCAAATCCCTCTAGCAATGTCTTCTCCTGACACTCATCACAGTGCCACTGAGAACTATTATAAAGAGTAGGAATAGAACAGAAAATTCACTGGAAAAGATAACACTATGTCATGACTTGCCAGAATATGAGTCAAACACCCATCATTAACTAAAGCAAAGATTAAAAGAGCAAAACTGGTCCTAAATGACTACATGGTTATAGACATATCAGAAATGTTAAAATGCCAGTTCAAAACATAAAATATTAACCCAGTGGTTCACATTAATGTCCACTGCCTTGGATGTTAAGACACCTTTGTCAGTATCCTTCATTTTCTTCAATTTCAAATCACCACGGAAAAGTAGTGCAACAAATTATTTGTAATAGGCATGAATTCGGTAAACATTGATTGTATGCCTGCTAGATGTCCAACAATGTGCTAGGTCCTGGGGATACAGCAGAAACCATTCCGATGAAAATCATCACCCACTTAGAGCAGAATTTGGGATGTCAGCCAATGTCAGGGGGAAAACCCACACATGGTGTGGTAGATGAATGAGCTCTTGGTCCCCCCACTGCTGGCCCCTCTTCAAACTGCAAGTCATTCCGTGAAAGGATCTTAGAATCAACAATTTGTTCTTCCTACAAAAAGTGGGTTTACTGAGATCTCTCAGGAGGTTGTATTTAGACTCGATTTAAAATGTAAAAAATGACATTCTGACATTGATGGTGCACAATGATGTCAGAGTAGCTCACCACTAGGTGTCATCATGTGCCATCACATTCTAAAAGACTGTCTAGGGCTCAAGTCCAGGACCTGTGCAGCACAGGACCCTAGTACTCAGCGTTCTGGGCCTGAGGTTGTCACCTATACACTGTGGGTGTTGAACTCCAGGCTTGCTGCAAGCCCTAAGACTTTGTTTCTATGTGACTTCAACAGCTTTGTGTCCCCCATGGCTCATAAATGCTTGGGAAAGAAGCATACCAGACCCTGCTGATGTTCACTGAAGAACATGGCATTGACATTGCTTCTGTGAGCTCCATTTCACTTAACACGTGATTCTCATGATAGTTCAGGGAAGAGCATAAACAGTGCACAACTTCACTTCAGAAACAGATTTGACCAGGACATACTGTCCTTGCAGGCAAGACAGGGGAAGGTAGAGCGAATTTGTAGTTAGGTGGATTATAGCTCAGGGTCAAATGAACTTATAAAGCACTGAATGAACAAGTTTGAAGAACCTGGAGGGATGTGTAAGAGAAAGAAAGCAGAGCTGTGGTCTCAGCACTCAGAACTGTCCTACTCAAATATTAGGATTCATGATGCCATCGGAAGAGACTTCAGCAGGTATGTAAGCTAGAACAAAGAGTCAATGTTCTTGTCACATGGAACCACCAACACAAAATGTGAAAGGGTAAGTGTGATTTCTGTCCAAAGTAAGGACTTAGCTGGCAGGAATGCAACTGAAAATGAGCTTACTGGACAAAGAGGTCAGTGTAACAGTAACTACTAACATCAATATAAATTCATCTGTTCCAAGCATTATGTTAAGCCTTCTTGGAAATCACTGCAATCTCTACAACAACCCTATGACACAGGCTTCATTAACATCATTTTATTGATTAGGCAACTGCGGCTCAGAACACCACATGACTTGGATGTAGCTCTAAGAAGCAATACAACTGGGATGTGGGAGAGCCAGAACTCAAATCCAAGTCTTTTTCACTTGGAAAACCAAGTCAGACTGTACAAGACAATACACATATTGATCAAGGCCGGCCATGGTCCCTTTGACCCTCCATTGCACCCTCATTTATCTGATAGGTACTTGTCAAGAATTCCTCTGTGCAAAGCATTGCACTAGCAGAATGCCTGAAGATGAACCCAGAATACCACACCCAGATAGACAAAATAGATGCACATTTTCCTATTCCTCTCAGCAAGAACAACTAGAAATTCTGGTCATTCTATCAAAACAGGCATAAGCAAGCTCTAAAAGGAAAGGACACTGATGGACTGTGGACTTGGGACCCAGGGGCAGAACTTTATGGATACTAATAATACCCTGAGGCAATACCTTCCAGGAATGCCCAGGAAAGCAAGACATTCTCAGAGAAAGGAACACTAAGACCACCTGTGGCTGGCAGAATAGTTAAAGGAAGTTCTCTAAACTGGAAATAATGAAAGGAAGAAATTGAAAAGAACTGGGAAAGAAGTGGAAGGGAGTATATATCAATATTATAGGCTTTCCTTCCCTTCTTCAGTTTTCTCAACTGTGTTTGACAGTTGAAGTCAAAGTAAAAATGTTGTCTGATACAATTCTCTACACATATATGTGGAGAAAACACTTGAAATTTCATTAGAAATAGAGTAAGATAACAAATGAATAGATGTGTACATTTTGTATAATTTATTAGAGTAGGTAGAATGACAGTAATAATAGATTGTGATAAGCTGTGTGGACTCATGATGGAATGTCTAGAAAATCACTGTAAAGTCTCTACAAGAAGTACATTCAAAAACACTATAGCTAAAAAAGAATGGAAGTTCAAAATATGTGCAAGCAACCGTCAGGAAATCAGGAAGAAAGAAAACAGATGGAAAATGAAAAGAAATAGAAAACAAAATAGAAGATGGCTGACTTAAACATGGACTATCAATGATTACATTAAGAGCAAATACTATCAATTCACTAATGAAAAGAAAGATAGTCAAAGAGTGGATTCAAAATTCACCCAAATGTGTACTGCCTATATCACACTAACTTCAAGTAGAATAATATAAATAGGCTGATGGTAAACAGACAGAAAGAAATACATCACAACCACATTAGTCAACGCAAAGCCAAAGTGGCTATATTACTATCAGATAAGGTAGACTTCAGAATACAAGAAATTACCAGGGACACCAAGGGTGCTGTATAAGGGTCAATCCACCCAGAGGACATAGCAATCCGAAATGTATATGCACCTAACAATGGAGCTACAAAGTATGGGAAGGAAAAGCTTATAAAACTGAAAAGAAAAAAAAAACCAAATGAACAATTATGGGGTGCTTTCATTATCCCGTCTCAACAATTGATAGACCTAGACAGAAAATCAGCAAGGGTTTAGAATTCAACAATAGCATCAAACAACAGGAGATAATGTGTATTAGAACGCTTGACCCAATGACAACATGCATTGTTTTCCAAGTGCCCATGAAACATACATCAAGATAGACCATATCCTGGACCATAAAAGAAGCCTCAGCAAATTGTAAATATTGGAGATCCTAGAGTATATTCTCCAGAAATAATGGAGTCAAAATTAAAATCATTACTGGAAAGAGGAAAATCTTCAAACACTTGGAAGCTAAACAAATGATTTCTAAAGAACACATGGGTTCAAGGGAGGAGGGGAACATGAAATGCTTTGAACTGGACACAAAGTAAAATACAATATATCCAAATTGTAGAACACAGTCAAAGCAGTACTCAGAGGGAAATTGATAGCATTAAATGCCTCCATGAGAACAGAAGACAAGTCTCACATTAACCATCTAAATATGCCACCACAAAAACCTAGAAAAACAAGAAAATAACCCAAAGCAAGCAAATGGATATAATCAAACAAAAAGCAGTGACACTGAAAACAGAAAGAATAAGAGAAGCAATGAACCAAAGGGCTGATTGGTAGGAAAACTCAATGAAAGAACAATGAAACTGGCAAATCTCTAGGAAAACTGACAATAAGAAAAAACAGGACACACAAATGCCAGCATACCACCTGACACACAGGCATCAAAGTATAAAGAAATACTGCCCCAAAATCCACATACCTGAATTTGAAAATGTAGGTGAAATGAACGAGTTTCCCTCTAGAAACCCAAACTATCCCAACTCATTCCATATGAAATAAGTCATTTTAACAGCAATGTCAATATTTTAAAGTTGAATTTGTAAATTTAAAACTCTCCAAACCAGTATCTTGAGGCCTAGACAGTTTCATGAAGAATTCTACAAAATGTATAAAGAAATAGCACAAATTCTACACAATCTCTTCAAATTAGAGAAGAGGAAGAAATGCTTCCCAGTTTGTTTTATGGATTTAATGTTATCATAATGATCTCTGATACAAATAGCAAGCACATAAAAAGAGAAGAAGAAGATAGCTGACCAATATCTCTCATGAATACAGACACAAAAATCCTTAACAAATTACTAGCAAATAAAGTTCAGAACTATAACAAAAGAATTATACACCATGGCAAGTAGTGCTTCTCCCAAGGATGCAAAGGTCATGCAAAGATTTTTAAAAGCAATAGTGACAAGGCATTATTTCCTAAACCTAAGTAGTAATCTTCAATTACCTTAAAATGTAAAAGATTATTTTGTTTACAAGGCAAAGAGACTCTGCCCACAAGAAATCAATTGGACATAGAGGTAGGTGTAGATACTACATTAGTTTTTATCTTCTGCCTCAGAAATGTCTACAGTTTATTAGAAGCCCATTTCTTAAGTCTGGTAAGATTAAGTCTGCAAGTTTCTCTGTGATTCTAACAATGAGCCAAGGGTGGGAACCCCACAAACAAGGGGATGCCTACAGAGAAGATCTCACTGTATCAAGAGCAGAGGGAAGGAGCTCACAGGAAGAGAAGCATGGCCAGGGTATTGCAGGAGAGTATGCCAAGGAGAAGGAGCCTGGGCTCAGAGAGAGATTAGGTTCAGGAGAAATCCAGTAAGTAGGGGTGGTCCTAGAAGATAATCTCTTTACCCCACCCTGCACTCGTCCTCAATACACCATGCTTTCTGTGACCTCTATATCAGTGTCCCACCCCCATTAGGATGAAGTTCCATGAGGGCAATGACTGTTGTCTGATACCTAACTGCTCCATCCCCAGGTCTAGAAGAGGGCCTGACACATTCAGCAGCCTACGTGTGTTTGACAAATGAGTCCATGAACAAATGAATAAGGAATATGGAAGAGCAGAGAGATAGGTAAAGGCTGAAGCAGCAAACTATTCCCCCCACCCACCCCCTAAAATAACCCTCCAATAACAGGCCTTCCTTGCAGCTTTAAGATTCAATGGATACCGGATCTCAAGAGTAGATCAACTGATTATATTCTATCACAATTCCTAAACATCTTTTAAAGCTCCATGACCCTAAGTCTCTTCTATGGGCCAGAAAATATGCCGGGTGCTGCATATCCATGACCTTTCATCTTCACCCTCTGAGATGTCAGAGGTGAGATATCTGCTTAAGTCCCTTGGCTGGGAAATGTGCAGTCCAGAACTGACCCCTCATCTCCCCAGCTCTAAAAGAACTTACTAGTTCTTTGGCACCAATACTGCCTAGAAAAAAATGAAGAAGGTTCATTACACATTTACCTAATCAATTTAAGCATTGAGTATGGTTTCCCAGCAACTGCATGGACAAAAGTGGAGATTTTGCAAAAACTCAGGAAAAGTCAAGTACCTTGGCTGATGCCTGGTCATACTGTGCTGTCAGTTCGGTGCTACTTGTATTCGAAACTGTCTCATTTTCAGTTAATTCCATTTTTGCTTTGTCCTGTTGGAGCTGGAGTTCTGGCCACTGCTTCGCTTGAGCTTTCATTTCTTTCTTGTGTCCTGGCAGCCATAGTTCCAACTCACCAGCCTGGCTCCTTAACTCTTGAATAGCAAACAAAACCCACATTTTGATCAACATCTGCTTTTCACAACAAATTTACAACTATATTCACAGTGTACTTTTTATGTTACTCTACTCTGAATTCTTGGATCAGACACATAGAAGTCAATGCACATGAACACAGAAACTACTCTTACTGGATTCCATTTCCATGCATAGTTTCCATTGTTATTTATACTCAAGTGTCCTGTAGAAACGAGGAGAAACCAATTTTCTTGTTATCACCAAAAACTTGGGGAAGAAAATGCCTTCGTAAAATTGTGAAAAGTATAAAATTGAGGACAAAAAAGTGGTGATGTCCTACTAAAATGTTTTACATCAGTCACCACTTGGTTTCACACTGGCAGATTAATCCTTGTTTTCTGAGGACATCAAAGAAATCAGTGATGAGCCATGAAAACTTCACCCTCCCACATCTTCCAGCAGCTTTATCTCCAGTAAAGATCAAGGCACTGTGAACCTTCTCTACTGCCAAAGTTCACCACACCTTTTTCTCCATGTCCCCACCACATACACACAATGTTGGTCCCAATGCTACTGGCAGTGGGGGAGTTCTCAGTGGTGAACACTGATGGTCATTTTGGATATATCATAGCACTGGAAATGATCCTAGTCTGCAGAGTAGAGTCCAAACCACCAACTGGTACCCTTGGCTGTCAGCTGCAGCTTGGGGCAGTGTCTAATGTCACAGATTTGCTCCCGTATGAATAAGCTGGCTGCACAGAGCACAGCTCTTCTGCACACACATGCCACACCTCTGGCCCAAAGTGGCCAAACACAGGCTTGTTTCATGGGGTGCAGAAGGAGGCAGAGGAGAAGGGTAAGGAGTGTCCACTGTAACAAATGTGCTCACTGCTTCTGGAAGGACAGGTCAAAGGCATTCATCCTACTTTTGAAAGCTTCAAGGTCCCAGCTTATCAGGACAAATCAAGGTACCCTCTAAAATGGTGATATCTTTTCTTATTCTCAAAAACACAGTATTTCCACATCACCAGCCTGGGGTGCTGACCACAGATTGGCTAACAAAACCCATAAGCACTTTCCAGGACTACAAATGCCTGGAATGACTTCTCAGATTACCTCAGGAAAATGTAAACCTGGCTGAGCACAAAACATTACCTTGACTCTGGGCATTTTGGTGATCCAAAAGTTGAGAACTGCTAGAATGATCACAGAAGCTGCTATAAGCACCTCTTTGCCCGACTTGCAAAGTTGATCTACTGCTCAGAGTCACTTTCAGATTCTGGGAGAAGTGACATGCAGAGTAACCTCTCCTAATGGGAGTCTGTAGAGCATCAGAAGAAGGAGGACTTGGGGTCTGTTCTTGTTGCCATGGGAATGCAGACCAGGAGGCCTGGCGTCGGCAGATGTTCAGGTGCATCGTGGTGTTTTGTGGAAAAACCTGGGTGGCTTTCTGTAAAGACAGAAACACTTTAGCATCCTGCACAAGTCATAGTATTCAAGACTCTTTTCGAGTGGAACATAAAGCCTTGTCAACAGGTTAGCACTCTCACTGGGTACCAGAAAAGAACTGTCATCAAGTCAAGGAAGTCTCAACTACCAGTGAGATTTTCTTAGGGTCGCACTTCAGCACTGAAGAGTTAAGCCAATATTGCTGAGGCCCAATCTGTTCCATGTGGGCTCAGTTTCTGTATTTCTTCGACATCCTTCCAATACTCTAATAAATGCACAAGTGCGAATTTGAATCATGAAATTGGGTTTTCTTCTGCCTGCCCTTTGGCACCACCAAACCCTCACTCTCTGTAGCTTTGCAGAAACAGAATCAAAATTCAACATCAGGCCTGACTGCTGTGGCTCAGTGGCTTGAGTGCCAGCCTGGGAATTGAAAGGTCACTGCTCCAATTCACACTCAGGGCACATGCCTGGGCTGCGGACATCTGAGAAGCAACTGATCACTCTATGTCTTACACATGGACATTTCCTTCCCCCTCCCTTCTTCTCTCCATAAAAGTAAATGAATGATATCTTGAAAAAAGTTGGTAATATTAACCTACAGAGCTCTTTCAAGTATCTCACTTTCTACCATATCATGTCCCACCAAATGTCCTATTAGGTATCTTATGTTGTTACATAATAGCCATTTGTGGCTTTTCTAATGCCTTGAATTCTTCTCTTTTTCTTTCCACCTGCAATCTGACAAGACATGGCTGCAGGTGCTCCATCTCATTCTTTACCTAAGTGCTTTTCCTGCCACAGGGAGAGGTTTAATGTTTATGGACTCACGTTCCTCCACTAAATAACTCTGGAAACCAAGCTTAGGGCAAGAATTGGTACAAATGAGTTAACTGGATAAGAAAGCACAAGGTAATTCTACCTCAAAGTACAGAGATTATTGTTTACTTTTTATTCATCATCATAAGCAATGCTTTTGTCATCCATGAAAATCCTGGTGACTGCAAAACAAGGGTTCAAGGACCCCCCCAAATTAAAATTATTCAGTCTCTAATGTGGGCTTTTGAGCCTCAATATTCAACGTGTCTACTTGCAAACTCTGCCTTCCACTCTTTGTGAAATTGTGCCATTTTACCAAGTTCTTGTTTAGCAGAAATATACCATTAAAGCACAAATGGATTTTCTCAAACAGAGAATATCATGGGAGTACACATGGAAAGGAAAATTCTATAGATACTAGGTATTTTCAGAGTCAGTCCCTCAACAAGAAGGAGGGTTTTCTAGAACATGCATTATGTTGCTATTAAGCAAATATCTTTACCCACCTCTCTCTGTTCATTTATGCACATCCAAATGGAGTTGAAAACCCTTGTCAGCAACTTAGTCAAAGGGACTGGAGAGATGATGGAAAACATTCTCCCCTGAAATAAGTGTTTCATAAGTAAGGATCCTCAAAACCCATGTCCCTGGCAGCAATCACCACAATCCATCAGAAAATCTGCATACGGAGCCATTTCCTCCAGGTGACAAAGCCAGTGTCAGGAATGATTGTGGTCCGACCCTCTCCAAACATGTTAATTATCATTAGATCTTAATAGGGAAAATATATTGCTGTAGTTTCCATGGAATTTGGAGAATATTTAATATTTAGGGATAAGGGAATCTCTCCACTCTATTTTACTCACTCATTGCCTCTTTCTTCAATGAAGAAAGATCATAATCAGCCTTGTGAGGGTGGCTCAGGTGATTGGAGCACTGTCCCATTCACCAAAAAGTTGCAGGTTCAATTCCTGGTCAGGGGATATACCGGTGCTGGGGGTTTTGTCCTGGTCAGTGTATATTGGACGGCTACAGATGGAGACAATGAGGGAGGACATGACAGAGAGAAGAAAGAAGGAAGGAAGGAAGGAAGGAAGGAAGGAAGGAAGGAAGGAAGGAACGAAGGAAAGAAGGAAGGAAATATCATAACCAATGTAGGAGCAAGTTTATTTCTTCAGTGTAGGGAAAATGCACCAGCTCTATGTCAAGCAGATTTTTCTCTCCTGCTATTGTAGCCTATATGAAAGCACTTTCTCAAATGCACACTGCTATAAGACCTCTAATTAACTTATTTTTGCCTCTAATAAGTTTTCACCTCTGCCTCTAATCTTTGCTGTTCTTCAACTTCTTTATTATGTTTTCCTTTTTGATCTTCATATTTGGAACCTAAACACAGACAAGGAGATACAGATTTACTTTGGTCATTGACTTTGTCAACTCACAGATCAGTAGGTAGTTCAGAAACGACTATCTTAGTACAGCAGAAATAACACTTCAATTAGAACAACATATATTGGTCACATTCTTCAAAGATCAAAATCTGTGGAAATACAGGTGTTTTAAATGTTCAGAAATGAAATTCTTCTTGAAACACACCACAGATGGAGAAAGTAAAAGGTGTAGGCTGGCCAATAAGTCTATTTTTTTGAATGAGTTTCTGCAGAAATTTGGAAAAGCCTGGCAAGTGTAGACACTGAAGTCATTCAGGTCCTTGAAAATGGCTACAAGGAAGTTTCATGGTGGGATGCATTTTCCCAAGACATGAGCTAAATTTTAAAAGCTTCCCTAGAACTGGTCCACACAACTTGGTGGAACTTCTAAATGTCAGTAAAAGAAAACTGAGTGAAAACTAGAGTCTTACTAACCTGATGGCTCAATAGAGTTCAACAGATGTACCCATGTACAGGTTACAGCAAGTAGTTGCATTTTGTGAGTGCTCAGAGTAGAAATTAAATTCAAAGCTGAATTAATTCATTTCTTTGTCAGAACAGAAATCTCACTAGAAGAAAGATGGGTATGAAGGGGAAAACTGCTTACTGCTATAATACTGACCTGGTGTTACTCGAGTTGTAAACAGTTTTTGTGCTGTGTCACAGGCACTCCCAGAGACATCAACAGCTTTCTGACTTCTTTCAGGTTCAGATTTATAGCTGTTGGAAGGAAAAAAGAAACATCAGAGTATGCCCAATCACAGCAAAGCCACAGAATAGCAACACCATACTGTTCCCAGAGAGGTATAAGCTTACAAGACTAACCATGTCAGAGCTCTTAGCACTTCATTTACCCAACACACATGTGACAGACATAAACTCAGTGACCTGTCTTTAAAGGGACTTAGGATACTTAGGAAAACAGAAATAAAGCGATAATTACAATGTCATGAAGGCTATAATGAGCACCTATAATAACCACAGAGTGCAAGAAAGAGTTGGGAAGTTGGGGATATATTCCAAGTCAATTTTATATTCTAAGCCAAAGAGAGAGTCACGAATATAAAAGAACCCAGAATTTCATAAACATATGAAAAAACTGTAATCCCTGAAGCATGGGTTAAAAAAATCACAAAACTGGGTGGCATTACTTATGTTTTGAAGTCATAACAAAGCACAGACTTGATCTATGTACCACGCACTTTATCGATCGATCTATTGATTGATTGATTGTGTGTATGTGTGCAGGTAACAGTTTCAAAACACTAGCAATAATCAGGATAATATAATACATAAACATATGGTGGAAAACAGTCACAAAGAAACAGGGGAAGTAAGCTATATATTGTGTAGTGGACAGAATATCCTTACCATTTAAATTCTGAAGACCTTTCAGAGTCATACAACCTAGAAGAAGATGAAATTCTTGCAAGTCTCCAATTTCTGACTTTAGCTTAATACAGAAATATAATGAACACCCTGTTAGAATGGCTGATGTGCACCATTCCCTTTGGCATGCAAGCAGTCCTCCAAGGAGAGAGTGAAGACAGTGCTTGAGTGCCCCAGCTACCAGTCTGGATGAATGTTTCTACTTGAACTGCTTGGTCTTCAGACTTCTGTACAATTTGATTTTCTGGCAGTTCTGGTCCTTTTGCTTTTCACATGTGTTGTTGTCCTTCTTTTGATTGTGGGAGGAGTCAAAGTGTATCCATTTATGCCTTTGTCTTGGTGGAAGTCTTGCAGATGAATTCTGAAGGGCCTTGAAAAATTGGTGTTTCATTTCCCTCTAAAAATTCAACTTTTACCACACCTCCTCTCCCTACTCTTTCATTAGAAAATAAAAGTTCATTCATTTTAAATAGTAAAGAAAAGTATATGCTGCTAGCATTTTTAAGTAAACAATTGTTTCTCGTTTCTCCTTTCTCTTAGAGACAAAAACACAAATCATCACTATCATAAAAGGACGAAAATCAACCGTTTTTGACTAGGTTGGAGGACATGAGTTTTCCAAAATTAAAGGCTTTTGATAAACCTTTCAAATGGCCTAACCAAATTTGGTTGACACATTCCTGAAATGTAGTCAGTGGCTATTGATGGAGAAAAGAAGCTCCTGCTCTGCACTGGAAGGTTATCCAGGAGAGTTTCAACTGTATTCTCAACAGTTTTTGTGGTCTTGTTTTTATACTCTTGAACAGTTCTTACACTAAACAAAGCTACACTCATAATAGTTGTTATTGTCTGAAGTTTATATAGCTGATAAACTTTTAAGAACATCTATATCCACATTAGAAAACAAGAATATTTCAAACTGAATGTGCTACAGGCATATCCTCACCTCATGAGGATGGTGACAATGGATGACATCAATACTAGTAATGCTGACATTTCACAGTTGCTCTGTGCCATGTAAGGAAAGCCCTGTGCAGTGTAAATCTCACAAAGTATGGCTACCAAATGCCACTTTGGAATGAAATTAGGAATATATACAAAAGGGTTCTGTCCTAAAATGTTAAGAATACAAATGCTTCTGTGAAACTTATGAAAACCAGTAGTTCTAAAACCAGCAGCCAAAATATGCTTTCCAAAGAAATGAATATTTCAGCATACTGGGTGAGCTTCCCACTTCCCTCATTCGTGTTTTTCAAAATGAATGACTATTATTCACTCATTTGACAAATATTTGAGGACCTACAATTGCCAGCTACTGAGGATACAGTGACATAGAAGAGGTCCCTGCTCTCATGGAATGTGACAGGGCAGACTATTAACAAGAAAACACAACATTCCACAAGATACAAGTTGATTCCTAACATGCAATTGACTGATAGCCACCTTACTACATGGATAGCAAACAAAAGAGGAAAAAGATCTCTGAGCCTAGGAAAGCATCAAGTAAATGCAACGTGGAATCCTAGGTCAGATCCTGGCACAGAAAAAAGACATTACTGGAAATACTATTCAAATCCTCATGGACTCTCTAGTTATCAGCACTGAATCAATGTTTATTTCTCCTTTGGTCTTTGTACTTCACTTGTTTAAATGTTAACAGTTGTTTCTGTAAGTCTACAGTCATTTGAAGGATCCTTTTTCAAATTTATGGGAGTGTGTTGGTAGACTCAATAATGGAACAATTTCCTAAAGTACTTTTTGCTTTTAGCTTCTATCATTCCCATTATTTGGACAAAACCCCTCTCTGAGAACAAGAAGATACCATTCATGAATGAGCAGTGTGTAGGCCCCACTAAATTTATTTTGATAGTGCCTCTAGTGTTTTGTAAGTGGAAAAGTGGTAATAAGCACTTTTTTATTGCTTCACTAGGACACTGAAATTGGCCAATTGACTAAGGAATGCTTAAGCTCCCTCTCAGATGGAAATCTCAGGAGGAACCTCTTCTGGACTTTGCTTTCCTCCCTCCATCTCCAGCTCAGATTCTACCACCAGGGCTTTAATCACCCTCTTCCCAATATCCTCAATCATTCCATGTCTTCTGTCCCATTGCCCTGGCCACATAGAATCCTAAATCAACACTGCTGTTCACCGTCTCAGCACTTATGTCCCAAACGCTAAAGAAAAATAAATTGTACAGCTCTGTAGATGGGTCCCACTGGAAATTCCTTCCTGGTCTCCAATCTCAACAAGATTGAGGACAGTTTTGGTATCACTTACTGTGATATCACAGAGAAGCACAATGCTTGTTCATTAAACTTAATGAACATAGAGAGAGTAAATGAATAAAGTGAGCAACCACTCAACTAATTTCTATAGCAATGAATTATGCACTAATAGGACTCGAGTATGTCAGAATCAATTTTCCTTAGATCATTAAATTTTCCACTGGGAAAAATATAGCAATGTATAATAATTACATCATTCAAGGAAAAGATGAATGTATCTTATGAATGTATACGCAGATATCCATTTAAACACCATTCCAACAATTACCTCTTAAGTTCCCGTTCCAATTTCCCCATTTGTTTTCTGGTTGAACTCAGTTGTCCTTCTGGGATATTCACTTGTGACTCCCTGACATGGAGTTCGTGAGAAATCTTCTGCTTAGCCTTCTCCAGGTTTTCACATATTCCCATCAAACTTTGATTCTCCCTCTCAGAGGTTGTGGCCTCCATTTCTTCTTTCTCAGCCTTGTGGGGATTGTTCAAAAGGAAAGAGTTCTCTTACTTTGTGAATTTACCAGGTATTCTTTGGAAAACTGAGCGTACCATGGATGACCCATTTTCTGAGACAGGGATGTCATCACCCAGAGAACAATGCCTGCTGAATGCAGATATTTCTAGGACCTCACTTTAAAGTCTCTAAAGAAAAAAGTTCTACAAACTCAGGTATTGTTTATCTTGGCTTAGGGTACATGTACCCTTGCTGGAAAGGGAGCTTTTGGTATGCTTCCAAGAATTAAGAAATGAATACAGATAAAAATAAGCCTTGTACCTCTCCCTTCACAGCTAATTTTCAACTTTGACTGCTAAAGCCAGTATGTACAAAAAACTGGAAAATCCTCCCTTCTAGAACTTCTAGAAGCAGTGACTGCATCACTACTATACTGGTTCATGAAGTGGTAAGAAGGAATCACTGTTGAAGTTTTCCTCTACCAGTCCTGAAGAGATGAGGTCTGGGGATATCAAGACAAAGCCCACTCTGAAAAACTGATAGCCATTTAGACCACAAAGTGTTCTCTGCTGTCCCCTCCTCCATACTAGCACGTAAGCAGAAGGGAGGACAGAGGATGAAGACAACAAGGTAGGTAAAATGTCTCAAAACAGACCCTGACTGGTGTGCTTCAGTTGACTGGGCATTATCCCATGAAACCACAGGTTGTGGGTCCAATTCCTGGTCAGGATACATGCCTGGGTTGTGGCTTCACTGCCTGGTCAAGGTGCATAAAGGGGACAACCAATCTATGTTTATCGCTCAAAACAATGTTTGTCTCCTGCTCTTTCTTGCTCCCTTCAACCCTCTGTAAAACTCAATAAATAACATCTTTCAAGAAAAGCATCCTGAAAGGGGACAGATCCATACCACAGAAGGGTAGCAAAAGCATGTTCACCTTCCACAAGGTGAAATAATTCAGACAAACAGTGAGTGGACTGTCGTGAACCCCAGATTTTCAGGGCTACCTTTTGTGTTTGCTTTTGCAGCACAGCCTCCAGAGTTTCCCGTTGAAACTGCCTTTGCTGCTTTTCTTTTTTCAGCTTGTCCAGCTGTCCTTCCAGCTCTTGAATTTTCTGAAGAGCTCTGGTGGGCAGGCCTTCTTTCCAGTCGCCCACTGCCCAGCTCATTTGCTCTCTTTTGTTTGTCATTCAAACAGTTGTGAATAAACTGAAAAGAGTAACTAGACTGTTAGTTTTAAGTAGAGTGAAAGGGCACTAAAAAGTCTGAGACTGATGCGTCTACAGAACTATTGCTAACATCAAGTTTGAAAACTCCCTATTTCAAAACATAACGAAGCATGCATAACATCTGTCTTCCCATCCTCTGAGAGGGGACTACCAATAACACTGATTGGGAGTTATATCATATGCTAGTTTGCATACCCTTGCTTCCTGTTTTCCTTATTTCCCCTTATTTTGGACTTCTTAGAGGGTTACCTGCTCTCTACTGATCAGTTTGTTTCTATTGTATAAAATATGACTATTTGGCCCTGATGTTTTGAGTGAAATAGGTCCTATAAACAGATCAAATGCACGAGCTATGTTGTAATATTTTTCTTTCCCCTCTTCACCTCCTTCATTCCCACTGCCTTTTTGTTGCCCTACCTCTGGGAGGTTCATAACCTAGTCACAGCACTCCTGGTCACAGTCTCTCCTGTCACAAGAACCGCCTCACCTTCCTGTAGCTTTCATTTCTTGAATTAATCCATGAATGAACAAAGCTATTCCTACAATTAACACTATAATCACTGCAAAATGCAGTAAAGTCTCACTGCTCACAGACCTTGACCAGGAAACAGGCACATATCCTCAGTGATTCACACTCCAGCTCAGTTGCCTACCACACCTGTGACCTTGGGCATGCTATTCAACTCCTCTGTGCCTTGGTTTCTTCATTTTCACAATGGGCGATAATTATGGTGGCAGCTACCTGAAGCCTCAGGACACTTTTCTATTTCTCTCCTTCAGCCTATGTAACCATGAGGCAAGTGATGTATCTCCTTCTCAGCCACATCTTAGGACATTTAAATCAGCTGGGAGGAAAAGCAAGGCAACATTTCTTCATTCATTAGCCCTTAGCATTTAAGTGCAAACCACTCATTTTCCAATTATTTTGGCAATGGGGTTGAGAAAGAAGTTCCTAAATAAAGTGTATAGCCACTTTAGTGCTTTGCATGAATCGCCTTTTCAATGAAATGTGTTATCAGAAGAACTACTAAATAGTAGATGAAAGTACAAAGAATGATAACAAGGATTTTCAATTATCAAGACAGAGTAGCAAAGGTCTAGGAAAACAATTTATTTATCAATCTTTGGCAAGCTGTGTTTTCCCCGCCAGTTTTTTTTTCTCTCAGGTGTCAGTTCTTTGAACACAGCATCTTAAACTCCTTTCCTGTTTCTTCCCCAAAACTCCTGAAGAATGCCTCAAGCCTTTCTGCCATTAAGAGGCAATTTGCACTGTCCCAATAGACTGCTCTGTCCATTCTAATCTACTCATAGCTTGCTGATTCAGGGATGATCCTCTGTACCGTAGAGGCACACATTGTAACTGACCTCAAGAATTCTTCCAGTCACTAAATTTATTACATCAAGATGCTATCACCAACAAAATATTGAAAGGAGCCATTTTGACAGTTGATAGAGATGAGCTTAGGAAATTGGCAAGGATGCTCTGGCAAGTCTGATGCTTTTCTATTCCAAAATCAAGGGCAGAGATATAAAGAAGTGGTTAAAGCAATTATTAGACCCAAATTAATTTTGCTTAGAGCAGACTTGGACTGCTTAAAGCATCAAGAATCTGCATGGAGCCACTCTGAAAAATGAGCTAAACAACATACTGACCTCAAAAGGAAGAAGTGAGGGGTAAAGGATTGGGGAGGGTGCATGGGGAGATGGTAAAGAGATGCTCTGGAGGTCAAGGTTTCCCCAAAGGGATTTACAGGACCATCGTCCTTCTCACACTCAAGCTCAGATGCACGGAGAACACTCTTCATGCCCGAATCTTGCAACCCAGTAAAGTGCCCCAGCAAGCTCTTGGATCAAGTGGGACTTGTTGGACACCCAGCACTGCAGGCCCGTTTCCACCCTTGCCCCTTTTCAGTTTCCCCCATCTCTACCAAGAAACCTGAGTTCCTGCCTACATCGCCAAGGCTGAGCCTGAGCATGAAAAATGCCACTTCCTCTAGAACACGTTCAAGGATAGGACTCGGCTTGTCAGTTCCTGGGTCCTCATTGTACAGCAGAGACAGGCGCACAGGTGTGTCCAAATCAGTGAAGGGAAAGGCAACAGAGAAATGCTCTGGCAACTGACAGTAAGCACACCAACCCGCTGCCACCCACACCAAAACCCAAGCTGGTAGTTCCTCCAAACACCAAAGGACCCAGGTCCACCCAGGTCCTCCTATCCAATAGGAGACACTGGTTCCTCTTATGGAAAATAGCTGCTCACCTCCAGTTCTTTGACCTTACAAACTTGGAAACTGAGCTCCAGAGTGCGAGTTCATGACTGAGCAGGGTCTGGAGACACTAATGTGAGCACTGCTTGGCTTGGTCTAGATTCTCCAGTTGGGTCAGGTGGGAGGGGGTGGTCCGCTACATCTTCGAAGCCAGGGAGCACAGTCCCTTAGGCATCCCCTGCCAGTCTCCTGGGGCAAACAGCCCGCGTCGCCCCCACGCCCCCAGCAGTAGCCAGGACCCACACAGAATGCTCACCTTGGCAGCACAAAATGAAATACGCCCCTCAAAGGGTCGAATTCCTGTGCAGCCTCTGGGACTTGGAGTCCCTTTTCCAGACTCAAACTCTCTGTCACCACCACCAGTTTTCCACTCTCTGGTTTCTGCTCACCACCAAAGCAGCTTCCAAACCGGTTGCGGTTGCTAGGAGCAACAGTGGGCCCAACTGATTCCCAGAACTCGCGCTGCCGCCTTTGATTGGTCATTTCAAATGCAATGAAAACATCAAGCCCTCAGCACGTGCGGAGCCCACGTGCAACATCAGTGATGTTTTGCCGGAGGCTGGTTTGAGGTTTAAAGATGTTATATATTTATTTTTAGAGAGAGGGGAAGGGAAGGAGAAAGAGGGGGAGAAAAACATCAAGGTGTGGTAGCCTCTGGCATGTCCCCTACTGGGGACCTGGCCAGCAAGCCAGGCTTGTGCTGTGACTGGGAATGGAACCTGTGACCTTTTGGTTCCCAGGACCTCCCTCAATCCACCCAGGTACCCTAGCCCGTGTGAGACTGCGTGCTTTTGCTGGAGGAACTTTTGAGCCGCTTTTTTAGCAAAAATCTTGGGAGCAGGCCTCTGAATAGGAGGGTGTGGTCTATCATTGCAGCCAGTGGGAGAATGCTCTCTGGTGAGAACACTGAATACTGTGCATACGTTTTGCCTTACTTATTAAATGCATAATTTAGGTCATTAGATACTCGGTGCTGTACTTGCAGTGTATTTTTCATCCAGTGTTATTCTTAACCATTATTGGATGTAAGTCTTATTTTATTTAAAAGTTCACTGGGGCTCACGGAAGCCATGGACTTTGATACTGAACTCAGATCATGCTGGACCTCTTAAGTACTGTCTTCTTAGTGATAATATTCTTTCTTTTGTTTTTTGAACCCAGCCCCTTCTGCCTTTGCTAAGTTCCCCCTACTGACCCAATTCCAATGGGTGATTCAGGACACTTGTTAGCTCGGATTCCACAGGAGGACTTTGTAGCCAGAAGAATCTCCAAAATGATGTCATCTTTCATTGTTTAAAGAGTATTGTTTTGTATGTGTCTGTGTTCTTGTTTTATTTCCTTATGCAACTTGAAAGAAGCTTCTAAAGGCAGGAGCAAAACAATGAATTGTGATATTATTAGATCTCTAATGCTATTGTGCTCTTCAATAGATTCAAAACTTTTTGTAAAGCTGTCCATAGGCTGTTTCTGAGATGGGTAGTTTAAATGATACTCAATAAGGACAAAACTCTTGAATGGAACAGCATATACAGAATTTTATTTAGTGGTGGGTACAAGAAAGAACAGTAATATTCTAAATCTGTTTTTATAATTTCACATGCATTGGAATCTCCTGAGGAGCTTGTTTAAGCACAAATGGCCCAGGTCTCATTCCCTGGTTCTGTGTGTCTGAACTTGTTAGAAAATATGCATTTCTAATTAGTACCGAGGTGGTACTGATGGTTTTGGTCCAGAAACCACACTCTGGAAACCACTGATCCAATGCTGTTAACACTGTAATAGGAATTTTCATGTCCTACACATAAAACCGTACCTCAGATGGCTCTTATTCATCAATATATAAATGTTACTTTATGCCAACAGTTTTTAATTTTCTTTTATTCTAAGGGCACATGATTACATGGCCTATTTCCTCAAGCCTTTTCTAATATACTTCTACAAAGAAAGAGAGAGAGAGAGAAAGAAAGAAGTAAAGAAAGAAAGAAAGAGAGAAAGAAAGAAAGAAAGAGAGAGAGAGAAAGAAAGAAAGAAAGAAAGAAAGAAAGGAAGGAAGGAAGGAAGGAAGGAAGAAAGAAAAAGAAAGAAAGAAAGGAACCTCCAGAAGACTAAGGGGCTGTCATAACACCTCTTGCTTTAAGACAGCGGAAAATGAAAGTCTTCAGAAATTCTATCCTATGTCCCTATAAATTATAGTTTCCATTTCTCATGGATCAGGTTTATTTTCTTGGACCATATCCTTTGGTTTGGTTTAGATCATCTAATGAACCCTGTTGCCATATTAAAAAGCAGCTCCTCTCCTCTCTGTTAGCACTCTCTCTATTCTTCTGTCAGAAACACTTAGCTTGTCATAAACCATACTTTGGCTCTATTGATCTCTAAGAAATGAAATGTTAGAAAGATGCTAGAATGTACCAATACTCATTGAAAATCTAATTCAAACATTTTGATCCACCTGACAAAATCTTGGCATACCTCTCTAACCTGATTTTTCAGATTCCCTCACACAATCCCTATTTCTCTTCAAGTCTATTTGAAAACTTCCCAATTAGATTTCATTCTTCTCAACTGCAAATAAAGTTCTCCTCTTTCAATTAACATCACCGTAAAAAACAGTTTGAACTACGTTTAATTCATTTTTCCTTGACAGCGCTCAATGCATTCCAATTATTTTTG